TGGGGGAGTGGTAAATAATGAAGAGCACGGGTCACTGATTCAGAGCGATCTGGATCCCTGGGTAAAATGAGCACAAGCAAACAATATGCATCTTAATAAGGTTACATGTAAATCTATGCATCTCGGAACAAAGAATGTAGTTCCTACTTATACGATGGGGGACTCTATCCTGGGAAGCAGTGACTGAAAAAGATTTGAGGGTTGTGGTGGACAGAGAGCTGAACATGAGCTCCCAGTGAGATGGTGTGGCCAAAAGGGCTAACATGATCCTGGGATGCACAAACAAGGGAATCTTTAGTAGAAATAGAGAGGTTATTTTACCTCTAGAACACGGTTTCCAGTTCTGGTGTCCTCAATTCAAGAAGGATGTTGATAAATTGGAGAGGGATCAGAGAATAGCCACAAGAATGATTAAAGGATTAGAAAACATGCCTTACAGTGATAGACTCAAGGAGCAAAATCTATTTATCTTAACAAAGAGAAGGTAAAAAAGTGACTTGATCACAGTTTATGAGTATCAACATGGGGAACAAACATTTGATAATGGGCTCTTCAATGTAACAGAGAAAGGTATAATACAATCCAATGGATGGAAGTTGAAGCTAGACAAATTCAGACTGGAAATAAGGTGTCAGTTTTTAACAGTGAGGGTAATTACCTATTGGAACAATTTACTGGGGGTCATGGTGATTCTCCGTCACTGACAGTTTTTAAATCAAGACTAGGTGTTTTTAAAAAAAGATCTGCTCAAAGAAATTTGTCAGAGAAGTTCTAGGGCCTGTGTTACACAGTCAGGCTAGATGATCCTACTGGTCCCTTGTGACCTTGGAATCTATGATCAGTTCCTTTCTGCCAGGGAAATATCAGTGTAAATATTTTTGATCTGTACACACACATTACATTTTTGTATTTGTGTTGTTTTCCACTGTTAGTTTATATTATAACTTCTATTTATATTTCTGTGTGTATTTATCTTTCTTTTGGCTTGCTCTGTTAAGAAGGTAAATAGATTTGCCCTGAGAAAAAAGCCATATTGCAAACTCCTATAGCTCATATCCGCTTAATAGGGCATCAGCACATTCTGTACTTCAAGGCTAAATCCTGAGATTCTTATTCAATTTTCACTCAGTCCTTGACTTCACTGGGACCTCGCTCCACTAAGACTGAGTCAAAACTGAGTGTCTCCTACTCCTCTCCACATCCACATACCGAGAAGAGCCTGCTCCCACAGTAAAGAGGAGTCCAACTCTGTGGCATGCTTCCCCTGCACCCAGCAGACGCCACCCACGGGACTTTGTGACATTCCAGCTCCAAAGAGTTGGAGAGGGAGTGGGGGAGCCACTGGGGATGCTCTGGATTGTCCCCAAATCAACCTGCCCATCAAAACAAAACATGGAGAACACTGTGGAAGTTGAGATATCCTGAGGCTGTGCAAATATAAACTTCTGCCTTGTCTGCACTGTAGAACATGGCCCTTCCCCCTGCCTTTTAGATATGTTCTGAATGGGGACCTCCCACAAGCATTGCTCCTGCAGTAACCAGTGTCAGTGGGAGCTGGTAGGGTCCAGGGGGGAGGGGGAAATAATGGAGGCCAGAGGTGTCAGGGTGGATAGCCCTTGCCTCCTGTGGATCCCTATCTGCACAGAACTCTTAGAGGTTCCATGTGTTCAGAGGATGGAACTCTGCTACAGGTTGCAAACCCAGTCCCTTGCCTTCGCCCCACAAAAGAGCAAGTAGGAAACTCCGTAAACTGAACCGTCCCCCCGAGTTTAACTTGTTTTACACAGATTACCCTCACATAAAGGAGACTGTATCTCTGAGTTAAGGACTTCTGGATTCAGTTCATATAAAATAAATAAACCCTGGGGAGTAAGTCAAGTGAAAGATACAAGAAGCAGGGGATGAAATTTGATTTTTCCTGTGGCTGCTGGAGTATACTCCAGACTCAGCAGTACTGGGAGTGCTGACATCCACCTTTAAGAAAAGAATTAAAAAACAATTGCTTGAGATGAGAGTTCCCATATAAGGTGCACTGGATTTGCACATACAGTCTGTGCTGGCACACCACTACTACAGAGTAAATGGTGCCAAAATGTGAGACAGCAGGTCTTCATGTGCCTGCAGATTAAATGAATGTACTTCCCCAGTCATCTGTACAGGGAGTATTGAGCTATCAGCCAAAATTCATGAGGCAAATTCATCCCATTGGTGTTGCCCAATGCTGGCACCCTGTTGAAGTCATGACTCTGGGATGGATAAGAGTTTGAAAGATGAATGAATTAATTCTTCTTTGTGGTGGAATATCAGAGTGCGCTGGAAGGTCACGTTGTGCTCTATGGTTACACTCTCAAAAGAATTTAAATTCTTGCTTCAGCTCTTACTAAATCCAAGGGAGCAGCAGCTATGGGAAAAGTCTTTCTTAAAAATCCCAAGAATCATACTTGTTTTGGCATGACACTGCCTAAGGTGATTTGAGAACAAGACTGAATTTGCCAAGTTTTCACATTAACACAAGGTTGAGAATACATTTTAAAACATTGGATCTGCTTTACTTTTGCTTGGATGGAACGTTTTGAATGCGTACATTTCTTTAGCTTAAAGGGGCCTGCTTTATAATGCTTTGAGCCAGAGGAAAATCCGCAGCGTGATGGAGGAGGTTGAGGCACGTTAGCAGTTTCAAATGGTCACTTAAAAATTACCTGAAGTTGTCAAAATGAACAGAGGCACGAAGGACCTGCTGCCTCCCGACTTCTGTGGAATTATGGATGCTCAAACACTTCCGGAAATCAGGCCCATAACTGACCGCAGAATTAGTTGTTCATGTCTGTTTGGAGTCATGTTTTCTTTTCCTTAGAAGCTGATATGGTGAAATGACAGAAAACAGGGAAGGCTAAAATGAGTAAAGATCCAATGTAAACTGAAACAATCTTATTAAAAAGAGGCCAAAATTAATCAACAAACAGTGGTGCACATGTGCAAAACAACACGTACCATTACTTATTATTTATTTCAGACCCACTGTCCTAAATGTGCACAATGCTTCACAGTCAACAAAAAGGCAGTTTAAACTTGGAATAGTACTGCTGCAGGGGTAACTGGGTCAGAGTCTTCTCTCAATTTCCTTCCCCAAAACAGCTTAGTCTAAGCTGATGTGCAAACATGAAGGAGTAGAATGCACATATAGTACAGGAAAGATGACCTGCACATTTTACAGTCATTCCTTTGCTATTGTTTTTCTGGGTGTCACAGACTTCTTTCAGGACACGTATTTTGTGTGGTCAGTCGTTTTAGAGGAGAGATGTTACGGTTCTTGGGTCTGTCACGGATGTGAGGACGTATAAGGCTAGATTGTGTAATTGATCCACAACCCTAAATTAGACAGTGACATGGAGCTGCATTGCCCCAGTGAGAGCTCTAAGACGTTTCTCCCTGCCTACCAGGAATTAACTGGTAGGCAGGGAGAAACATGCCTTTTAAACCATCCTTAGGACTATGCAGACTACTCCCATTTCTGTGCCTGTGGTTTGGGGAGGAGGAAGGGTATGGCCAAGTGTCCCTTTATCTCCTAATGCAGATGGGAGTTCTTCTTTGGCAAACTGAAACCATTAAATGGTTGGTATCTCATTGACTGGTAGCACTATGAGGGAGTTCAGTCAGGGGAAAGAAAAGCAATACGCTGGGCAAGTGAAGGGGAAGGAGAACTGGTCATGGGGAAAACTCAATCACGTGCTGCTACTGAAGGCACCAGAATATGCATCGTTTATAAAGTCTCTGTGTTTCAGTTAAAGTGCTACCCTGTGTTGTGTCATGGTAACTGCAACTGTAAGCTTACAACATGCATTGCATTCTGGGAGTTAAGAGTTCTGAAGGGGGAGGCAACCTGGCTGTCAGCTGACAACAGTAAAATCTCATTTCTTGCAATCTGCCTACAGTATGCTCCTTTGACTACTCCCACTATACCCCTTTTATAGCTGCGCCAAAGTGCTACACTACCTTACACAGTTACCAGCGGCCTGCTCACCATAGGAAGATGTATAAATTCCTGGTGGACAGGACCCTAAATTATCCGGGATTTACTAATCTGTTTTAAATCTCTTTAGAATTTTAAGCATAAAAATAGGTACAGATCACACCCTTATTGTGCTGTGGGGACAGGTAGCTAATATATCACGCAAATGTTTGTTACATCTCTTACTGAACGGTCGCTTTCACATTGCTTTTAGCAAATGGACCATTAGAGGGGGATGATATTTTGCAAATTACAATAACAGAAGAACAAAAATTTTAATTGCACTTTAAAAGGACATGGGTATATATCACTAGTTTTCAAAGTGAGTATTTTTTTAGTCACTGTTGTTTCTAACAACCCTTTGAAGGCTTGGATTATTAATTTATTTCCTAAATGTATCTTTATTTATGCAGCAGAAGCTTTCCTCTCTTTCAAGGTAAATTCTGCACTGTTTTACATCCCATGATTTACAGATTCGTGTAACCCCATTGTCTTCAATTTGAACCCCAGAGCTTAGGGATTCATTTTTAGTAGAATACACAAGGGATTTGATTTCTAAAACATATCATTAGTAATCAATCTTTTATTTTATTAAAATGCATTGCATGACTCTCTCTAAACAGCACTTTGAATGTGGCCTACATAATTATTGTGGATAACATTGTTTCATCAACCAGTGGTTTGATTTACTCTTATGCTGATAGCTTAAAAAATGATAGGAAATAAAGTTATTTTACTCATGTTAAAGGATGCAATTACTTCTCAAATGTAACATGTCTGTATGTGTGCCTGATCCATTAACTTAAAGTCTTGTTACCAATCCAAGGAGAAACCTTGAAAAGTGCAGTTACAGACTGGATAAAAACATGAAGGGGTAACAACTGAGCATTCAGCAAAATAACAGGGTTTTGGTTTGTTTTGGAAACTTTCAGTGACAAGTACAAGTTCACTTTAGTTAAAGAAATCTTACTCTATTTCTTTATTCTTTCAGGCCACTTTTTCGTGGAAATTCAGATGTTGATCAGCTAGGAAAAATCTTTGAGTAAGTACTAATTTGCTGCATTATGTCAGTGGCAGTTTAGCTTGAAACACTTTAAAGTTTCTTTGCCATGTTTTTTATGGAGTAAAAGGACTTGAACAAAGTATTCCTAGAACATATTTCCTATTGCTGTTGCACTGCAATATAATATTTCCGTGTATTCTCTGTCAAAGAGGGAGGAGGAAAGTGCGTGGAATATAGTTTTATAGAAATAACAATCATCATCAAGAAGATGATAGACTTCTGGGGGATTTTTTCTAATCTTTTAAATATATGGTTCATGCACCATTCACGCATTTTCTTAAAAGTTAGAGCATTCAAGAAAGAATCACCTTACAAAGCCAAATAAAGTTTTAGCTATTCAATATTTTGTTCATTTGTGAATTTCAAAAAAATGTAATCAGAATCCCTCAAAAATGTTCATTATTAAGTGGAAATGTTAATATTGATCAACAACTTCTGTGGAAAGGAATATTTTAGCTTCACTGTATATCCAATGAAGATTATTAAGAAGCCATATTTTGGTGATAAAGGCAGCTATGAAAACATAAAAGGTATCGAGATTAAATGGATGCTATCTTAGAGATGGGATACTGTAATTTATTTTAAAAGCATTTTACAACTCTGTATTGCAGTTCCTCTTCAGACAAACTCTGAACTTTTAAAAGTAGAATTACTCCCCCCTCCAAAGTATGTTTTTGAATAAAAATTCTCCATTTTAAAGTCATTGATACAGATAAGTGAGAAAAATATCAATCACCTCTCTGTTGTTTTAGATTAAAATATCTTCACAGTAAGGAATGTTTCTGACGGTGTCCTGGAAAATGCCATGTAAATTTGAGGCCCAATATAAATGTTTTATAATAATATTTGAGTGGTTATGACCACCAGACACGCATATGGCTGTTCCCACTCCTGCACAGAAAGAGGGCTCATTCACCTCTGTAGCTGTCCTCCGTTTCCTATGGAGAGAGTTCCAGGCATCCAGTTGGAGGGAGAGGCCAAGATGAGTAGTAATAGTAGGCAGGGAGGAGCAGGGGGGAGGAGGGCGGGGGGTGGGGGTGGGGGTGGGGAGCACTGTCCCCCCTTACAGCCCTGCAGAAATTCCAGAGAGAAGATGATAAAGCTTCAAAGGAAAGCGCTACTCTAGTAGGTCAAATAATGAATTTGTCTCTCTAATCATTTTTCCAGCTCTCAAATTATAACACATCCATTTCTGAAGATTTTCATAGTTTAAAATGAGGTTCCCAAATTGCAGGTCTTGATTTTCATTCAGTTGACTTCCCTTTCCTGCATACCATACCAGTGTATGTGACTCACTAGTGTGGTTAATTTGCCATGCCCGTGAATAGTCCTTCCTGTACAATCCAAAAACAATCAGTCCTCGCCTGTTTGCTTTTTCTAGTTCTGGCAAAGTTATCCCTTTGATTAATTTATATTCTGCTGGATTAAACAAGGAATGTTTTGATATATGCAGCATATTTTAATAACGTAAAGAGCATGGTTGTGATTTTATTTTTTAAGATCCTAAATTGTTTGACATTTCAGGAAAACCCCCCAAAACAAATGAGTTGGAATAGGATTAAAAACATAGCAGCCTCCTCCAATGAACTATCTATCCCTCCCTAGTGGGTGAGATTACCTGTATGGAAAAGAATTCAACCATTAATCAGGAAGAAAAAAATACTGTGCCAATTTTAGGAGAGAGCAGAAATTCTCTATTACACACTGCACTTAAAGAGAAAATCTGCCTTGCCTCTTTTGTGTAATTATCCTTCAATATTTCAAATGCCTCCTTCTTGCTTTTTTATGTCAGATAGTGTTTATTTTCTGTTTTCACAGCTGGAGACCCCCAACATTTAGGCATAGGCCTTGCCTTTATGAGGGAGCTGTTGCCTGCTATGGTAGTGAGTCATTCTCTAGGCTAATTTGGATAAAGTTGTTTTAAGATTTTCCTACATTCTGGACTGACATTTTTTCAGATAATGGACCTTGCTCCACCTGTGCAGCCTTTATTTACATTAGTTGGAGTTCTCCACAAAGACTGAGGATAGATCCTTAGGAGATGGCCCATAACCCTCCCCTCCTTTCCCCATGCCAACATCAATATACAGTATATGCTCACAGATTTAAGGCCAGATGCCAGGGTGTCCTGAACATACTCAACTCCTGTTGCAGTCACTGGGAATGGAAAGTGCTCAGCCTCTCTCAGGATCAGGTCTGAACTCGGACCTTTGGGTTCTCCCATAATCTATCAATATTTACTGCTACTATTGTACTGTTGGTATGGCGAGAGGATAAAATAGCTTCCTCCAATATGCTCCAGAATCTTGGTCACCCAAATGGTAGTGCAACCTGCTAGGGCTGCCAGGCAGACACTGGTGTATTAAACAATTTCCAAATGCTTTGTAGGATCCGTAAACACCCACTTGAAAAAAATCCAACTCCCATTTTTGTACTTTTTTTTTTTTAATGCTGCCCCTTACGCCTGGAACCAGCCCCCCTTTCCTGGGCACCAGGCAGCCGCCTCACTTCTTGCCGCTAACTTGCAACTACTAGCGTCCACTCTGGTCTGTTTGTGCTCTCACACCCAATCATATTCTCCTTAAAAGAAAAATCAGAACTAACTAGACACATTTGAAAGAAAACGAACTTGTATATTTAATTACCATTTAAAAACTCCTCCTCCCCCCTCATCCGACACTGCCCATTGTGTTATATCTGATGTGGACTCAGGTCTTCATCACTTATGCACATGCGTGTATTCACTGGGTTCAATGGGACTAGCACATATGTAATGATACCCATATGGCTAAGCATTTGCAGGATCAGAGTCTTAAACTGCAAGACCCTCGGGGCAGGACTTGTCATCTTATAAGTAAAGCTCCCTGCATGTCATTGGTGACCTATAAATAAATAGTAACAATCAAGTTTAACTTTTCAAAGAGATCTAATTCCCCCTTTGGCAAGAGCTTAGCAGTCTGTGGATACTAGGGTGACCAGATAGAACGTGTGAAAAATCGGGACGGGAGGTGGGGGGTAAGAGGCACCTATATAAGAAAAAGCCCCAAATATTGGGACTGTCCCTGTAAAATCGGGACATCTGATCACTCTAGTGGATACTGGGGGGAAATAGCTACAAGAATTAAGTGGTGGTGCACTCCTGGCCACACTGCTGTTTTTTAGTACATGATATTAGTTTGTTGAGGTACCTTAAATACTAAGGGCCAAATTCTGCTCTCATACCTGTAGAAATCTGAAGTAATTCCATTGATTTGAATGGAGTAACTCAGGATTTATAAGTAAGTAAGAGCAATGCTTGGTCCTAATTTTCATTCTGTGTCTACTACCAAGCACTATTAATAAAAAGAAAGGACAATGCTGCACCCTGGTGGCATTTCAATTGAAAGCCCAAACTCTTAAGGAAACTTGTTTTTCTGTGTTATAGTTCTGAGTCTGTCAGCATTTTCATTATAAATCTCTATTTTAAGGTGTGTAAAATTCAGCTGTAAAATTGATTTTGGCTAAAACTTGGTATGTAAAGTCTGGCTAATGGGTCTCTGTCAGCATTTCCATTACAAGCCCTTATTTCACCATTTTATAGCTATACCGGAAATATTAACTCCGGGCTGAAGCTTGGACTGTAGAGACATGGTCCAAAAAGAAAGGTGGTGGGTTTTTTTGGTACATTTAAAAGAAATCCCAACAATTCAGCTATTTTCATTTATCCATGTTTCTAGAAATTTGAATGCTCATTTCATAAGGAGAAGCTTTGTGTCATATTCAGAACAGAAGAAGAAATATTAGTTTTCCAACTATAGATAAGATGAACATAAAACAAAATTAGGGGTAAATTTTTCAAAAGAACCAAAGTGACTTAGGAGCCTACATACAATTAAGTGCTTTTGAAAATTTTATCCTAAAGCAACTGAGTTATTTAATTTTGGGAAATGGCCTCCTTGACCTATGCTCTGCTGTCTTTTCCTTAAGGACTTTTGTCAGGATCATCATCCTTGTGGCAAATGAGGCCTGCATGGAATTCCTCTGTGAAATCTCCTTTCAATCACTCTCGAGTGATATAAGGTGCACCATGCCTCCAAAATCTGAGCACATTTCTCCCAAAGCACTTGCAGCACCTTGCCAATCCAGGGACTCAGAAGAATGAGACCCAGGCCAGAGCACTACCACCAAGCTCCCTCCATAAAGATTTTTTGCCATGCAACATTAAGGCCCAGTTCTGCCATCCCTACTCCCATTAAATAATGCAATGCTCTGCAAACAGTCCTATTGAAATCAGTGGGATTACTTACAGAGAAAGGTGCTACTCAGTGCAAGCAAGGGCTGCATTATCTGGCCCTTATTGTGCATGTGAAGTATAGTCTATAAAGGTTTTAAAAATTGCCTTATATGGTTTAATAGATTATCCTGTGATCCTGGATAATGCTGCTGCTCGCATCAAAAGAACAAGAGGCAATCCCATGAAAACATGTGAAGCAGGATTTAGGGATTCATACAATGAAAGAAGATGAGGCTGTATAAATACAGCGGTAACATATTTTTGTTTCACCCCCAGCTAATATGTATGCTTGTTCCTTACACAGTGTCATTGGGCTCCCGGAAGAAGAAGACTGGCCTAGTGATGTTGCCCTTCCAAGACATGCTTTCAATTCCAGACCCCCACAACCCATTGAAAATTTTGTACCAGATATCGATGAACTAGGCAAGGACTTACTTCTTGTAAGTTTCTGTTATTCTCCAAGCATATCTTAAATGACTGCAGCTACTGCACCTTGCACCATGTCAAGAAACAATGTTTTTTTAATGTAATAATATTATTAGAGGTGAGCCTGAAGTGATTCCAGCAGCTGAATTGCCCCTCTTCCATGGCGCAGAAGTGTTATATGCAGCAGAACTTGTATAAAAACTGCTGTGCACAGATGGTAGGCCATTTGGGTGGTGCACGTCTTCTATGCAATGCTGAGCCCAGCTCCTTGGGGTCATCATTTGTGGATTCACCAACTGTTTTCCCCCACAGAGAGCATGCATAAGCAGTGCAGGGGCTACTGCAGCTTCAGGGTATTCCAGGCTACTATAGCCACTTCACAGTCAGAGAAGACGCAATTTCTTCTTCTCCTCAATCTCCTGTGGAGATCACCAGTGCACAGATTTACTTGTCTTTACACTGATTCACAGAATTTGGGCATAAGTGAACAACGGGAGATTGCACTGGCTCTGTGGATTAGGCACTAAGGGGGATACAGAAAACACACCAACCATTGGGCCAACAACTGGTAAAGATCATGGTTACACATGCACCAGAAACCCAGGGGTGGGACTGCCTAAAAATGTTGTTGTTGACTCACTCTAGTGGGTGTCACAGAACAAATAAATATTTTAGAAGGATTTGAATAAATACATTATTTATTTAAGTGCTAATGATATGTAACGGCTAGGTTAGCCTTCTATCCCTACACCTGCTAGCCTTTCAAGGAATGTTATTAGGAAATGCAAGGACTACATAAGGTGATTAACAGCTATGAAATATTGGATTTTCCTGTACTTATTTTATTATAGGCGTGGCTGGTAGCACTGCCTATTATTAACACTTCATATTATAAGACTTTTTCAGTTGCTTATAACTTTGTCAGATTTTAACTATTTGAGCAGAATTTTTTTTATGTCAGATGTCTTCCTCAGGCTGAATTGTTTTTGGAAAGTTTCAGCCAAAATGGTTCCACTGTTTCCAAGAACAAAACTAAAGAAAAATATATTGGTTTGCAATGTTAAAAAATCCTGGCGATCTTTTCTTTGAGAAGCTACAGCAGAGATTTGAAATTTGTCAGGGGATGACCTTTGTGTCAGGGACTTTTGCTATTCATGTGAAAATGTGTCCAAATTTGGCTAAGATATAAGCAGCTGAAAAATCTCATTTCACACATGCTCAGTAGGGACTTCTTTGAGTTTACTGGCTAAAATCTCATAAGATTCCATCTGCCCTGGGTACGCTGCATCCCCTTACAGCTCCTAGTGCTGCCAAGACTGAGCATGCACCATCCCCTCAGAGCGACTGAGTATGCTCCACCCAGGGCTAGAGAAAAGCCAGACTTGCCTCATAATTGCCATTCCTGATTAGGGTGACCAGATGTCCCGATTTTATAGGGTCAGTCCCGATATTTGGGGCTTTTTTTTTATATGGCTCCTATTACCTCCCACCCCCTGTCTCAATTTTTCACACTTGCTATCAGGTCACCTTATTCCTGATTGATGTGGGGCAGGCTGGGCCTGGGTTTAGGCACCTTAATTAAGAGCAGGGAGCCTGTCTCTCTTGTGACCACCCATCCATGGGCGGCAGGTGAACCCCACTTTGGGGAAGCTAGGCTGCTGGCCTCGGCCCTTCTGCCTGAGTGCCGAGCAGAGCCGGTGTCCCCCTCTGTCCGAGCCAGCGGCCCCAGTGCCTGGCCGAGCCGCTTCACTCCCCCACCAGACCCCCACGCCCACCACTTGCTCGCAGCATCCCTCCTCACTCCCCCGCCCCCGAGGAGAAGCAACGCGGCGAGCAGCGCGGGGACCTGGGGGGGGGGGGTGGGAGAGGGGGATGGAATGCAGGTAGGCAGGCGGCAGCAGCAGTGGGTGGGGCCTCAGGGAAGGAGTGGGGCCACTGCGACCCAGGTGTCCCTCGTGGGTGGCTGTGCCAGGGAAGGCTTAGCCTGGCCTATAATACCCACCGCCCATGCCCCCATCTAGTGCCCAGGCAGCATGGAGGAGGAAGCCACCTGACTTGAATGTAGGGGGGACAAGAGCCAGACCTGGGAAAGGGAAAGCAGTACATTGGAACATGGGAATCTAGAATAGCTGGGACTATGGCAGGGGTTTTGGACTGATTGGGCAAGGAGACTGGGACTGGGAGCCTAAGGGTGGGAAAGTTGCCTGTGCAACTTTAATTCAGTCCCCACTGGTCTTTAATTACACAATCACATATTTTTTTCCATAGGCCCCTGCCTCATTCAGTGCACAGGATGGATGGTGCTATACAGTATTTTGTTTTATCCCCATGGTTCAATGTCTGGCCTCAGGCCTTATTTATTGCACTCTATTCAAACCCTGCTCTGAAAACAAAAGTATTAATTTCCTCCTGGGTTTTTCTACGGCAGTCATCACTAGAGTGCTTCACAAACATTAATTAATTTATCTTCACCCCACCTTGTGAGATGAGGAGCACACAGGGAGCTGAGGCACAGAGATTTTATGGTCAAAAGCGTCCGCTAATTCTGGATGCCCAATTTGACGTATCTGCAGCTTGATTTTTCAAAGTACTTAATACATATATATATTCATGTTATATCGGGTTGCGTTATATCGTGGTAGAGGTATATATATCCACCTCTACCCCGATATAACGCGACCCGATATAACACGAATTCGGATATAATGCGGTAAAGCAGCGCTCCGGGGGGGAGGAGGGGCGCGCACTCCGGTGGATCAAAGCAAGTTCAATATAACACGGTTTCACCTATAACATGGTAAGATTTTTTGGCTCCTGAGGACACCGTTATATCAAGGTAGAGGTGTATATATATATAGCATTTTATATATTCCAGCATGGCTCCTCTTGTCTTCAATTGCTGTTGTTAGTACTCACAACTTCTAAAGTCATTGCGGAGAAACTAAATGAATTCTTTGCTTCAGCCTTCACAGCTGAGGATGTTAGGGAGATTCCCAAACCTGAGCCGTCCTTTGTAGGTGACAAATCTGAGGAATTGTCACAGATTGTCACTAGAGGAGGTTTTGGAATTAATTGATAAACTTAACAGTAACAAGTCACCGGGACCAGATGGCATTCACCCAAGAGTTCTGAAAGAACTCAACTGTGAAATTACCGAACTATTAACTATGGTTTGTAACCTATCCTTTAAATCAGTTTCTGTACCCAATGACTGGAAGATAGCTAATGTAATGCCAATATTTAAAAAGGGCTCTAGAGGTGATCCCAGCAATTACAGACTGGTAAGTCTAACGTCAGTACCGGGCAAATTAGCTGAAACAACAGTAAAGAATAAAATTGTCAGACACATAGAAGAACATAAATTGTTGGGCAAAAGTCAACATGATTTCTGTAAAGGGAAATCGTGTCTTACTAATCTATTAGAGTTCTTTGAAGGGGTCAACAAACATGTGGACAAGGGGGATCCAGTGGACATAGTGTACTTAGATTTCCAGAAAGCCTTTGACAAGGTCCCTCACAAAAGGCTCTTACATAAATTAAGTTGCCATGGGATAAAAGGGAAGATCCTTTCATGGATTGAGAACTGGTTAAAAGACAGGGAAAAAGGGTAGGAAAAATGGTAAATTTTCAGAATGGAGAGGGATAACTAGTGGTGTTCCCCAAGGGTCAGTCCTAGGACCAATCCTATTCAACTTATTCATAAATGATCTGGAGAAAGGGGTAAACAGTGAGGTGGCAAGTTTGCAGATTATACTAAACTGCTCAAGATAGTTAAGACCAAAGCAGACTGCGAAGAACTTCAAAAAGACCTCACAAAACTAAGTGATTGGGAAACAAAATGGCAAGTGAAATTTAATGTGGATAAATATAAAGTAATGCACATTGGAAAAAATAACCCCAACAATACATACAATATGATGGGGGCTAATTTAGTTACAACTAATTAGGAAAGAGATCTTGGAGTCATCATGGATAGTTCTCTGAAGACGTCCACGCAGTGTGCAGCGGCAGTCAAAAAAGCAAACAGGATGTTAGGAATCATTAAAAAAGGGATAGAGAATAAGGAGGAGAATATCTTATTACCCTTATATAAATCCATGGTATGCCCACATCTTGAATACTGCGTACAGATGTGGTCTCCTCATCTCAAAAAAGATATACTGGCATTAGAAAAGGTTCAGAGAAGGGCAACTAAAATGATTAGGGGTTTAGAACGGGTCCCATATGAGGAGAGATTAAAGAGGCTAGGACTTTTCAGCTTGGAAAAGAGGAGACTAAGGGGGGATATGATAGAGGTATATAAAATCATGAGTGATGTGGAGAAAGTGAATAAGGAAAAGTTATTTACTTGTTCCCATAATATAAGAACTAGGGGCCACCAAATGAAATTAATGGGTAGCAGGTTTAAAACAAATAAAAGGAAGTTCTTCTTCACACAGCGCACAGTCAACCTGTGGAACTCCTTGCCTGAGGAGGTTGTGAAGGCTAGGGCTATAACAGGGTTTAAAAGAGAACTGGATAAATTCATGGAGGTTAAGTCCATTAATGGCTACTAGCCAGGATGGGTAAGGAATGGTGTCCCTAGCCTCTGTTTGTCAGAGGGTGGAGATGGATGGCAGGGGAGAGATCACTTGATCATTACCTGTTAGGTTCACTCCCTCTGGGACACCTGGCATTGGCCACTGTCGGTAGACAGGATACTGGGCTGGATGGACCTTTGGTCTGACCCAGTATGGCCGTTCTTATGTTCTTAGAAATCAGACCCCAGGGTCCCCAGTCAAACACCCCTAAAATGAGGAACACACAACTAGTGACCCCTGTGAAAAGTTTGGTTTAAGTATCTTGCCTACCATCACACAGGAAATCTGTGGCTGAGGCTGAGATAGAATCCAGTTCTCCATGCATAACCATGAGACTATTCTTACTCTTCCTACAATCCCCTGCCTCATTCACTACATACCTTCCAACTTCTGCAGCAAATGAAGCAGAGATCCTAGGGACAACAGCCTCCTTCACTACACAACCTGATTAATCTCCAGAGCAGGTCCATCCTGTGTATTGAATGAGGCAGAGATCATATAGAAAAATATATGATGATGTAATTAAATACTTTATCGTAATACCTATGGACAAAGGCACTGAATGAAGTTTGCACAGAGAACCTTAGTTCTGACATTTCCTAATTTTTGAGGGCTTGATTTTGCAACCTTGGTGTTCTTTTAATGTAGTTTTTGTGTGTAATATTGATATAGTCTGACCCAGCTGCCTGGCCACTTCTCATTGACTGAGAAAATAGGCAAGGCCCATGCAGCACTTGAACTGGCTCTAGATCTTCAGGCTATTGTAATTATAAATCAATATAATGACACTCATTAATTTGTATCTATATTATCTTCATTATTTATAATATCAGTTGCATATTATACACGTAACCACTACACTAAAACCGTCTTATTTTAATCCTTTTAGAAATGTTTAGCGTTCAATCCCACCAAGAGGATATCTGCCTATGTTGCCCTGTCTCACCCTTATTTCCATGATCTGGAGAAATGCAAGGAGAATCTGGACTCCCACATGTCAACCAGCCAAAACTCCAATGAGGTGAATAAATCATAAGACTCATTGAAGCTGAACCTACAAATGAACATGATGTGTAGCTGACAAAGGTCACTATCCCTAGCTGTTCTACTGAAGATCATTATTTGGAGGTTTTACGCGTCTGTCTGCTTCTTCAGGATGGTGATGTGCTCCAAGGAAACCAACCTGGTTTACTTTCATCAAAGCAATGCAAGAACCAGGGATTTCACCTGCTCTCATTGCAGCTTTATGTGTGTGTGTGTTTGTTTTGTTTAACTACCTGGGAAAACTCCAGATGAAGAGAAGCTGCTGACCAGTTTTGCTGCCATTTTATTCTTCTCATATTGAATGCTGCCAGTGTTCCAGTCACTGCCAAAACATGACGCAATCTCTCCCTCTAGCTGCTGAAGCCTGATCTGGTATTTTTTAATTGTTATTTTGGTATCTCTTAAAGTGATATTTAAAAGAAATGGCATTGAAATATTGGATCTCTACAACCCGCAAATAATTGATAAGTACATGAATGCGTCTAGTTACTATTGGTAACATACAAGGAGGTGCTTCCCCAGTTGAAAACTTGGACAAATAATTTTATTATTTCATTACTGTCCATAAAAATAATGATGATTATAAACTGAATCAATTTTTAGTTTTTTTAATATACAAATGAATTATTAACTAGATGAGTTTATGTGCATGTCGCAAAAATAAGTTTAAAAAAAACTTTTAGGAACTTACTCTCTAAAGACTACTCTCCAAAAATATTGCATTTGTTGTTTGAATCAGTCTTTGAAGTCTAACTTTTTATTTCTTTCTCAAAACAATTGCAAGCATATGTTCCATGATCTAGTACAGAAGTTTATAATATGTAGATCAAAGAGGTAGATAGAGCTGATGAAAATCAAAACAGGGTTTCCCATTGTAACATATACTTATTAGCAACCAAAAAGTAACTTGGAAAAATGTTTCCTGTTTTAGAAGCAGAGAATTCTTTGATTACGGAGAAGAATACTTATGCATACGTGCTATATTGGATGGAATATACTGCGCTGCTTTACCTGTAACACACAACTTATACAACACAGTGCATGAACATTACTCATATTTCATTTACTAGCAGATTTTTTTTCTGTGCAGAAATGCATGAGCATCCCTCCTAACCCACCATGTGGGTATATTGGCACACCATATTTCTCACTGTGCTAGCAGTAATGTGCCATAATTGAAAGTCAATATAACTAAACAATTCACATAACTTTTTAGCAGTTATTTTAAATATTACATTACATTTTTATATTTAGTATTTTTACCTTAACTAAAATATATTTTCATTATTTTTAAAAGAAACTTTTATTTTTTTAGTACTGTGCGGAAAAAGTAAATATTTTAAATACATAAAGTAAAGGCTTTTCCCTAACCTAAACTTCAGTGCATTTGCCTGGATATAACTCAAGGGAACATTTGGCCCAGTGAGTTAACCCCTGCCGTAAAGGTAGATTAGGCACTACTGCAATATAAATAATAATACACACAGCAGCTACCATTGCTTACTCCTGTGATGGTCCTTCGTAAGCTATCCTACTTCTCTTGCCTCTGCTTCATCTGTTCTAGCTACTGAGCCAGTATCTATATCCTCACTCACAGCATGCTTGGCAGTGCCAAGCTGAGCAATATATATTTTTCCAGTTATGGCATGGGAGCCTGTGGCTGTCTCCCAGGCAGGTTCCTCGGTTATGTGGCAAACTGGCTCTGTGGCAAACTTCACCATTAGTTCTGAGCTGTTTAGCACTTAGGCTGCTGCCAAGATAGTGAGTGGTTTTATCTACCTTTTGTGAAGGCATTCCTTTTCTGTTACACACCTAACAATGAGACTTGGGTTAAATTACTTCCATGCTATGTAGGCCAAATTGTCAAAGGACCAGTTGCACATGCGCATGTCGGGTCTGTTCAAAGATCTACAGCATGAACAGGCAGGCTGTAAATTAGGCTGGACAAGATTGCATCCGAGGCATGTGTGCACAGAGTCTGGACTCTTGCACAACACAAGACTTTTCCAAGGGGCTCAATGTGCCAGGCTGAAGGCCAGTGGGTAGCCAAGGCACCACTCAGCTGGTCTTGGCTCTGCCCCGTTCCCTCTCCCTCAGTGTCTAGGCCCAAGGATAAATGAGGTATCACTCGGTGGGTCTCGGCTCTACCCCATGCCCCGTGGTCTTAGTTTCTGCAGCCCAGAGAGGGCTGAGGGTGCCGCTTGGCTGGTCTTGACATCCTTCGAAAAAGGTGGATCATAGTGCAATTAAATTAACCACAGTTTCTATTAATAATTTTAAAACAGTTATTTAAAACAGAAAAAAAAAAAATCCAGGCCAACCTTGCAAAATTAACAAATGGGGAAAAGGTTACTGCACAATTTAGCAATTTTTAAAACATTCCACATTTTATCTAGCACCAAACTATTGTACGTACTTTTTCAGGGCACTTAGCTGGCATCACCCTCTAACAGCTGCCTGAGGACTATCTCCTGGACACTGCAGCTCTGCAAGCCCTATAAAGGAGGGAAAATATTAGTTGTTTTTAAAATCATGCTAAAAAACTGATGCACAGAGGTGCTAGCAATTACTCTGAAGGATGCTGTGTGAGAACCAGAACAGAGTAGAATACATCTACTCCATGTTACACTCCATCCCGTCCAAGCCCCATTCCCAAACCCCCTCAGTGGAAAAAATATGCAGTTTACCCTTCTCCAGCACTCCAAGGCTGATTGCTGTTCCCCATTTCCTCTACTGACTATGTGTGTCCCTTGGGTACTACTGCCATGTGTGTAGTGATAGGTGGGGAAGTGGGAACTGGATTTCAAAAGGGAGGTGCCCACTGGCACAAGTTCCCTCCTTCCCTGCCATCACCACAGCAGTAAAGAAAACCATTCACATACACTGCAAATGGGGCCCTTGCATGTAGCCCTACTCGGTCTTGCCTTTGGCCTGAGTGAGTGCAGCAGACTTGGGCGAACACAGCTAAAAATTATTGAACAACAAAAATTAAATTGAAAAAAAAGTAAAAATGGTTCTTTATCTTCTGGAGCACCTCCAGCCAGGGTGTTCATTACAGTAGATGCCCAGATGTTCTGAGCAGTGGAAAGGAGCATCTCCCATCTACTGTCCCACATTATAGTCATTTGGTGTTGAGCAAAGCTATAGTCCCACAGGATCCTGCATGATTCTGCAGGCCGAGCAGACCCAACAACTGAAGAAACCACTAAGGTGAGGATAGTGTAGTTTCAGGTGTACTTGCTTCTGTACTATGAAAGCGTCTGCTTCCTCTGCTGATTCCTTACTGGCTCTGGGTGGCCCCCTGAGACCAATTTTTAGAAACTGAGCACCTGTTGGGCTGCACATATTTCACACTGACATATAGTAACAGGTCATTAGCATATGCCAATATTATATTAACATATTCTAATGCTGTTGTGCATCTAAAAGCACCCAGCACAAGATATGCCAAGCCAAAGGCAAATAGATGCAGCTGACTGGTTGACCCAGTGGCCTTCCCTCTGCCTCTCCACCCCCTCCCTCATCCTCCTCAGCACAAACAGATCCAGGAAAGCTGCCTGCTGCTATCTCCCACGAGACTCCCCACCCCCACCCCCCGCCTGCCTCTATTTTCAACTCCCACACAACTGGTCTTCCCTCACTGCTACTGCCAGTAGTTGCCTCTTTTGGCCCAGGAGCCAAGAGAGGGATGATTAGATGGAACCTCCTCATCCACCTCCCACTATGACGATGACTAGCTTGTGGACACCTTTTTTTGTCTTGTGTGCACCAATCAAAATTCTAAGCCCAGCTATTTATCTTTCAGCACACACAGCTGATGCCCCCTTTGAAAATCCAAGCTTGTCTCCTGCTTGTGCCCCAAAATACACCAACAAACCAGGATTTCTGCCTTCACAGGGTTTTGAAAATGTGGTCCTACATGCATAGAGTCCTTTCACAGGGTCATAAACAGTGGATACGTTGCTCAAGCATTTTCTGTGTGTTGGACACTATCCATATCCTGGTCCTCAGGCTCAATTTACACTTGAGTTTTCTGTATGAATAAACAGAAAATTTTATACATGTTACTTTGCACTGCTTATATACCAACTGTCTTTGAGAAGCATGTTTTATTGTACAAGGGCTAATTCTCTCAGCTGCTAGATACAGTGCCCATTTTAATATGTGGAATAAACAGCAAATATGCCATTCCAGTCATGTAGCCAGCAAACCAGGAGCACTTATCTGACTCACAGCTGAAAACAAATCGGATGAATCATAAATCACATGGTTTGGTTGAAAAGACCACATAAATTAATTACGTTCCTAGTATGAGTTGAATTTGAATAACGAAATACATGTTTCTTCTGAGAATTCTATTCTTTAGAACCACTTTGCTAGTGTTTTTCTGATGTGATAGTTTCAGGAATAGATGGATTTTTGCTAGGCCTATGATGTGATTTACACCATATATACTGTAAGTGTGAATCCTTCTCATTTCATACTTTTCTCCATGATTCAAAACTATTAGTAAACTCTAGTAAAGCCCTTTGCCTAAATCCCACTGACAGAGTAGTTAGAATCAGGCTAAGGATCTGATCCTGTAGTCCTTATATAGGCAAAACTCCAGTATTTCTTTTATAGCCTCCTTCTTTTGACTTCACTGGGAGTTTTGCAGGTGTAATGAAGTCAGAAATTAGCCTTTAAGGACCTACATGTTCCAGTGTACTTATTTTCACAGGTTTTACTTTGGTGCAGTCATGCCTTTCAGTAGACTGAGCAGGGAGACTGAAGAGCCTGTGTCAAATTCACTGAGGTTTTATGCTGGCTTCCTCCAGCACAGAACCCATGGGAGCGTTCCTGGTGTCAGGAAGTCTACGCAGGCGAGTTGCAAGGACACAAGGCCTCAGTCACTTTCCCTTTGTCGAGTGGCCTGCAGCTAAGCAGCACGTTACTGGCTGGGGAAGGAACGTGGTTAGGGCAGCCCCTAGGTATCCCCCACCAGCAAATTCCTGTTGACGTCCAAAAACTCTGAGATACTGCTACCTGCCTTCTCCTGGATGAAGCTCTTCTGGGGTTCAGTGGGGCAGGCTGGCACAGGGAGGTATTGTTTGCACCTCCCTATACCATTGGGAATTAATTTGTTGCCTTATCATTTGAGGTGACAAAGCTTGAATTGGTCACAAGCTGGGAATCTAGCATATTTATTTCTCTGCTACAAAACCTTCAGAATGTCCTTGTCAACATTAGCATCTCTGCTTGATCTTATATATGTAGAAATTTGTCTTGAAATCAGTGTATTAGAAAAACAGTTCTATTAAACTTTGGGGGGAACTTGAAAATTATTTTTTTACATATAATAGCAAATTAAATTTTCTATGCTGAAACATACTATTAACTTAACTATAAGCAAGCTATTAATTTTTTTTCCACTTGGATACTAAAAACAAAACATATGGAGTGTTGCAGTCTTCCTTTGTTAAGGGAAATATTTTCAGAAACAGCATCTCAAATACTGGTGCAATTTTGTTTTTGCACGTGCATTTTCACACCCAATTACTGTGCAAATTAAATTTTAGGCATGCAAAATTATGACCACA